ATATATACATATATATATATATATATTACCTAACAAGCAGTCAAGATACCAGAAAACCAGGAGCTAATGGACCTGGCTAGGACTGATTCTGATTTAGAAGGGATTTTGAGTGATGCCTGCCGCGTGGCAGTAGTAACCGTAACTCTGTGCTGTGATATTTTACCCAGAGGGCAGAAAGAAAAAATAACCCTAAAGACTTAGAAGGTCATGAAAATGCGTTGTAAAGCATATCTGGCTGTGATCTAGCTATTTGAAAAGCTGGTTTAGAATTCATGGTACAGAGGGGTGCTGGTGGGGGAGAGGGTTAAAAACTCTGTATGTCTTGGCTTCCCCAGGACCGAGCTGTTTGTTGTTTTGATTTGTCATCTGGTGTCCCAGGAACTTCCTTCAGGATCTCTGAAATAACACATTTACTTTCGTTTAATTTAGTTTTTTTCCTTCAATAAAATAGTTTGCTTTTTTTACCTAACTCCAAACATACGTTCTAGGTGTGTTGCTGGAGCAGGAGAATTTTCTTTGCATTTACCAGAAGTAAAGAGTCCAGCAGAAACAAGGTTTAGTGTTTGTAGTGAAGGGAAAAATCAAATGAGAGTGGAGGCAGACAAAGCTGCTGTTTTGTTCCAAGTGCATTTCAGTGTGTCACAACAAATACTTTAAGAGACTTGAGCTCCTAGAAAAAAATTCTTCCTCTCTGAGAAATGTAGACAAGACATCGCTGTCCAGTCAGGAACTGGAAACAGCGACAGCAGCACACACTATGAAAAAAGACTTGTCTTTTTTGCATACGTATTTCCTAATACTAAAAATACCATTGCAAAAACTCTCATCTTCATCCAAGCAGTTTTGTTTTCCCCATGCAGATGTCTTGTTCCATTTCTGATTAAGATAATAGGGGCGAAGCTATCTAGCCTGATTTCTAAAGGGTCTAAAGCAGCCTGATTTAAGCCTGATTTCCTTTTTTTTTTTTCAGTTCCCCACCAGGATAGCACTGCATCTTTTTTTTTAGTTACCTTTAGTACCTTCTGGTGAAGGGCCAGAAAAGATTAATTATATTGATCAAAAGTATGGAAAGGCTACAATAAAATGATGGGCTGAAAAATACTCTGGCTTTACTAGAATCCTGCGCTGGCATCGGGTACATTGGAGCTTCAAAGTGTAGGCAGACATGCAGCCCCCTTCGTGGGAGCAGGTGGGCCTGCACACTGATATCTGTGGTCTGACTGTAGACGGGAACGCAGCCTGCAACGCGGCAGGCAGCCGATCATTAATCACCACTTCCTTATAAAGTCATAGGATCATAGAAACTTAGGGTGGGAAGGGACCTCAGGAGGTCTCATCTAGCCCAACCCTTGGCTCAGAACAAGACCATCCCCAACTAGATCATCCCAGCCAGGGCTTTGTCTAGTCAGGTCTTAAAAGCCTCTGCCATCTCCCTAGGTTGTCTGTTCCAGTGCTTTGCTACCCTCTTAGTGAGAAATTTCAACCTAATATCTAACCTAAACTTCCCT